GACCTAGGGAGGATTTTATTTGGGGTTTATTTTTTAACAATTTGACAGAGACACAACTTTAAAATTTGATTTAATTCGGTTTTATCGGGGGGGAATGTATTTATGTTTTGTTTTAAATATGTTGTGCGCCGCCCTGAGTCCCGTCGGGAGAAGGGCGGCATATAAATTAAATTTATTATTATTATTATTATTATTATTAATAGATGATAGATAGGTGATAAATAGGTCATAGATACATGATAGCTAGAGGATAGATTGATTGATTGATTAGATAGGTGATAGATGATATACATGATAGCTAGCTAGCTAGCTAGAAGATAGATTAGATAGATAGATAGACAGAGGATAGATGATAGGTGATAAATAGGTGATAGATACATGATACCTAGCTAGATTGATTGATTGATTGATTAGATATACAGGTGATAGATGATAGATATGTGATAAATAAGTGATAGATACATGATAGCTAGCTAGAAGATAGACAAACAGACAGACGATAGATGATAGATAGGTGATAAATAGGTGATAGATACATGATTCCTAGCTAGAAGATTGATTGATTGATTAGATAGACAGGTGATAGATGATAGATAGGTGATAAATAAGTGATAGATACATGATAGCTAGCTAGAAGATAGATAGATAGATAGATAGATAGATAGATAGATAGATAGATAGATAGATAGATAGATAGATAGATTAGACAGACAGATAGGTGATGGATACATGATAGCTAGATAGAAGATGGATGGATGGATAGATATGATAGATGATGGATAGATATGACATGAAGGATAAATATAGATGAGAGAGAGAGAAACTAAAACCTAAGTTGCAAAAAATGCAATGTCTCCAGCAGGCCACAGGGTGGCGGTAGTGCTTGGCCATACTGTAATTAGTAGGCTTTACAAATTAGACTCCAGAAATTAATTTGAAGAGATAGAATCTTTGGCAAATAGACTGCGTGGGCAGAGAATGAAGGCTAGAGGTAGTAAGGCTTCATGAGAGAGAGTACGTGTAGTGTATATAGTTGTGTGCTGTGTGTGATGTGCACATGGTGAAAATGCTGGACCAGGAGTTTGAGGCTGGACCCTCACTCTCAGCCCGGCCCACCTCCCAGGCACGTGGATGCTTCTCAAGCTCCTGTATCGAAGAGGACTAGAAACCTAGTTTAAAAAAAATAACAAATAGTGAGAAAAATAGCTCCTGCTTAAACGCAAAATCCTGAATAAAACAATGCCCTTTTTTCTTAGGAATGCCCTGACTTTCTGAAGCAAATTTGAGAATTCCAGCCATTTTTCACAGAAAGCCCCACCACCTTTCCTCCTTAGATACAACAGTTTCCTGCTCCTTGTTCTGGAGTGAGGTTTGCCCTGCCTTTGTTTTGCCCTCTTCCCAGGCTTGGCCTGGCCTGGCCTGGGGTAATATCCCAGGACCGATCTCCTGAGACGGAGCAAGTGAGGAATCAAATTTAGGTACTACTGCTCGGAATCGACTTGAACTGCAAGACGGGTGGCGAGTAAATTTTATGATAAGGTAGTAACCATAGCAATAGGCACCTCCCAAAACATCTGGAGCATCACTTGAACACCTTCGGCATTGACAAGTTCACCAGCAGTCAATTGCAAAAGGCAGCCTTTACTCAGAACTGCTTACATCTTGAGATGGTGCCTTTAAGACCATCAAAAAAAATTCCACATCTGCCTATCCCAGGTCCTAGGGAAAGACTCCATAGGGGGGTAAAAATGCCAAGCCCAGTCTAAACATCTGGCTGACTGTGGCGATCCATAACAATAACAAAGGGCCAGCTGTTCGTAGCGCTTCCCCGCCTCTCTTCTTTCCTTCCCTCAGACCGAAACTGCAATTCGTTCTGTTTGATCCGTTTTCGACGGCAGACAAAAGACACACACACACACACACACACACACACACACACACACACAGAGAGAGCCAACCCCCCCCCCCCATTATGTGAAGTTGTGGGATGGAGGGAGGTTAAGCTTTCGGTGTAGACCAGAGTTGTCGCGACGTATCACAACTTTTTTTTCCATTGCCGGCAATATTGTGGGGGCGGTTTCAGCATGATACATGCTGCCCATGGGCCGGCAATTTGACACCCCTGGTGTAGACAATCATATTTATTTCTGCCACAATATCTTTCTGAACCAGAAAAGATAATTGACCAGAAAAGGGTATGTCCAATATACAAGATCCGTTGCCAAGATCCTTCCAACTCAGTGAGTTAAGTCCTCACAACCCTTTCCTTCAGAAGCCCTACAGCCCCTAGAATAAGTTATTCCTGTCCTGCAACTTCAAAGAAAGCTGGTGTATTAGGCTGCAGCATCCAGATCGCCAGCAGAGGACAGCAAAATCTTACTCTTTCTCTCTTTACTGCCATCTGGTGGTTCTCCAGGGCTCTGCATCCCAGAGATGCAGCCTTCATTCAGAGAATTCTGTCTTGTCTTTCTATTGTGAGATCATATGCTCCCTTTTTCCCTTAGAGAACAAGATTCTCCAAGTCTTTCAATCCAAACACAAAGAAAGCTGCCTTTGTTTCACCCCCATCCTCCCCTAGGCTGCTATAAACCTGGCCTACCTGATCAGGTGATTTCTTTTTTAAAGGAACAAACATAGGAGGAATTCTTCAGACACGTTATGTTGTCTAAATACAATTCTTTCCATCAGTTTAGTCGACAGATTTGGCCGGCTAGGCAAACTGCTAAGCTAGAAAGAAAGTTCCTACTCAGGTGTAAAGAACACAGAATAACAGGGTGGGAAGGGACCTCAGAGATCTTCTAGTCCAACCCCCTAGTCAAGCAGGAGACCCTATACCATTCCAGACAATCTCTTCTTAAAAACCTCCAGTGATGGAGCAGCCACAATTTTTGGAGGCCAGCTGTCAACTAACTCCCTGTTAATTCTTCTCACCAGCATGAAATTTCTCCAGTTTCCACCTGTTACTTCTTGTCTCACCCTCAGGTGCTTTAGAGAATAGATCAACCCTCTCTTTTTCTATGACAGTGCCCCAAATATTGGAAGACTTCTCTCAGGTCACCCTCGTCCTTCTCTTCGTTAGACGAGACATTCCCAGTTCTGGCAGCGTTCATCGTACAGATGATCTCCCAGAGTCCTCAATTATCTTAGTTGCTCTCCTCGGCACTCTTTCTAGAATCTCAGCATCTTTCTTTGTATCGTAGTGACCAGAACGAGACGCAATATTCCAAGTGTGGCCCTACCCGTGCGGTATAAAGCGGTGCTACGCTTTGCATGACCTTGACGCTATCGTGCCGAATCGCACCGAAGCTTTGTCCCTTCGTCCATTACAGGGGCTGGATCCCTCTGTTGTGATTCCTCGCCAGCCCGTGGATCCGGCAGCTGAGTCTGAGGAGGAGGAGGAGGAGGAAGAGCCTGGAATGACATTGGAATCAGAGGAAGGCTCTGAGAAGCTCCAGGACTTACAGTCTGATGAGGAGCCTGGCCCCTCT